GTTATTGTGAGCGTAGTAGTGCGTAGCGGTGAGTTGGGATTCCCCACAGCTGAACACTTAGGTTATTTTCCGAACCTCTATAGGAAGCGGAAACGTAGTGCACCGTTATGTATGTTTAATAGGAATGCACGCAGCACACCAAGGGAAATCGAAGTTGGCGTACTTTATCGCTGAGGTGTCAAGACGCCCACCCTCTAGATTACAGATACAGGTTATAGTACGTGAGTAATCTAGATATGCTTAAAAGTCCACGTAGGACTCACCCTCATCTGGCAACGGATTGCACAAAAAGCCTTCACTCGTTCCATCACCGAAAGCGTGCAAATTGGCCAGCATGGATGTCAAGCGCCGAGAATAGTTGCGAGCACATTGCTTCGATTCCGGCTGTTCCGAATCCGCATCATTCATTTCGTCCGGCGTCAGTTGTAAGTTGGCTAACAGATTCAAGGAGAACTCACAGAGGTTGAGTACTTGTGAGACACAGTCCGCTGCCTCGAGAACCGGCATGACCTGAAAATGCAGAAATACAACCACAAGTAAGAATGACCACAGTATTTAAAGCAATAAATGACCGCAACATGGGTTGGTTGTAATTGCAATCGATCGTTACATGGCAGGATACTTAAAGAAATCGAACAAGATGGAATATGGGCAAACAGTTAATTGTCTTACTTTCATCAAAAATCGAACTTGGACCTCCGTTGGACAAATAGTATCTGTAGTAATTTCTTGCCCGTCCTTCGAACAAAGCAGTTTCTCACTGGTCAATTCACCCGGAAAAAGTGAACCGATAAGCAGGTCGTGTAGACTGGACTGGGGCTGTTCAGGCAATAGGGGACGGTCCATTGTTGAGTTAAGTAAGGATGCTTGCACGTGAGATTTGAGAGACTCGGATGCACGAATGAAGTTATTCTCTGCCAAATCTGGATTGCTGAAAGAGTGAAACATTGGCAAACACAGTTAGTGCTATGATAAAAACTTGGATTAAAGTCTATCAATTCCAAGTTTTGAAGCGAGGTTTACGCAACGAGCCCATTCAATACTCATTTGCTGGAAGATCGCATTTTCTTCGGCCAAATGAGAACGATGTTAGCCTATGAGAAGGCAATCTCGACGTTCTGTTTAAGCTGAACAGCAAAAGCGTACTCAAATCCAAGAGATAGGATTGATTGGCAAAAGTCGCATTCGCTTTGATGTTCGAATTACATTTAAAGAATCCTGGTGCAGAAAACTTTCTACGTTTCGTCAAGAGAAAGGACAATTGGGTATGGAATACGGTTTGCGATTTCTCTGTCTCCAAGCAAGGAAAAAATATGGTCAATTACGCACCTCTTAGCTCTGAGAATAATTTTACCTCAGAAGCAATAGCCAAATGAGATCAAACAGTATTATTAGGGCTACGATAATTTGCATGACTCTATCGACTCAGTGATGAAGCCCTGATGCTTGAATGAGCCAAGTAAAGAAGAGTTTCGGCCCTGGTTTTAAGGCCCCGTGAATTGGCATAGAAGCCAGTCCACATAATCGAAGGGTGATAAACAGAGCCAAAATTAGGGTAGCGTCTCAGCAAGCAAAAACTTCACGCTCAGTATTGGCTCAATTGAGGAATCGTTCCCGATTGAGAAGACCACAGAGTGCAGGTGTAAAATTAAGTGCAACGACTGCACCAAGGTCTACATAGGGCAAAGAGATAGGGGATTATATGGCAGAACTGGCGGATACGGTAGGAGAATACCCAAACCAACAAGATGCTGGTCAAAGATAATGATGGCGGGATTTGGAAAATGCAGAAGTTTTAAGACGGTGTTTAAGATCCATAACATGGCGGCTGATGACGGAAAAGTTGGAAATCACCAATTACCTCAGTGTGAACACAATAGAGGTGATGACTGTAAGGAGAACGATTTAGCTAATCCGAGCTGATATGTGGCGATGGGCGGTTGTAGGTCCAGAAGGGTCATTAATATGAGTGGTTTAGATCTAGAGTAGAAAGCCAAAACCTACCGAAATTCATGCAATTCATTCATTGAAAATGACACAACAGGCACCTTCACATGAACCGAAGCACACCCAAAACTGGGTTCAAATTCATAAGTTTCCTTTCTATGCAATGGATCACGTGCCTAGCCAAACAAACGAAAACTGTTAGAGGACACCTTACATTGACAATCTGCCAGGGAGAACAGGCTTTTCTGTTTGGTTCTCCTTCTGCCTTAAAACTTGGCCAGTGTTTTGACTCAATGATGATACTTTTGTTTCAAAAGTGAAACGCTGACCAGCCGCAAACCTAGTGAGTGACTTCCAAATATTCCTGAAACGATAACCTCTCGATCCAAGCGTTTTCAAATGATTGAAGAGGATGTCTCTGACTGTGAAATTTTTTCGCATTCTCCCGCCAATCTGCAGTCTCAACTTTTCACCATAACTAAATCACTTCAATTCATTGGTAACATTGTGAACGCTTTACTTCCAGATGTGGCAAACGAATTGGCTCGTCGACCAGATAGGAAAAAAGTTAGGAAATGTTTACCACGAGTAAAGCCTATGGAATGAAGATTGAGAGGGTATACTTAAGTAAACTTCAAGTAAGGCACAGCAGTGCATCTACTCGAATGAGCGGGTGAGGGTTTGTGCTGGTTACCAACGGATAAAGATTATGGGAGACTTGATTATGGATATTCTGTGTCCCTCGGATCGTTTTTTTTTCGTTCGCACTACTGTTCATTCACTTAGGCGCAGAACATCAAATTCCTGGTGATGGCAATCCAAAAAAAAACTTGAAACGGACTCACCCGAGCCAGAAGTGAGCGAGGCCGGTACACAGAAATAGGAGGCAATAATCACCATCCCAAGTCCAAAGAGGCGCTGAGAATGAATCAGAATCCAAGGACTCTTGAGAAGATGTAGACTCAAGAAGTTTGATCAGGGTAAGCAATGGAACGGCCTGGAAGGAAAACATCACTGTCTGCAACACCAAAAAAGAACGCTGGTGCTTCATTGTCGTACAGCCATGTCAATGTGTTTGAATAAAGCTCCGCAATGGAAAAAAGGAAAAATGGAATGGGGGTGGACCTGGAGCTATCCTACAACAAACATCCAAGGTGTCTACGCCTCTAACACCCAGTCAGCCAACCTGGATAGCTGCCAATAAAATCGGTAGGGCACCATATATCGTTCAATGTCTCCAGTCAAGCACAAAGAGGGTCGTGTTTACCCCATTCTGGAAGGCAAACAGCACCAACGGCACCCACGCTTTTTTGCAACATACTTCGTTCATTCTGTCATGTTGTAACGCAATTGAAACTTGACTGTTCCCGCCTATACATGTTTAACATATGAACTTACGTGTGCACCCCTCCCTCTCCCTCCCGATTACAGGTATCCCGGACGAGTCACCACGAGTGTGCTTCATTGCGTACAGCCATGTCAATGTGTTTGAATAAAGCTCCGCAATGGAAAAAAGGAAAAATGGAATGGGGGTGGACCTGGAGCTATCCTACAACAAACATCCAAGGTGTCTACGCCTCTAACACCCAGTCAGCCAACCTGGATAGCTGCCAATAAAATCGGTAGGGCACCATATATCGTTCAATGTCTCCAGTCAAGCACAAAGAGGGTCGTGTTTACCCCATTCTGGAAGGCAAACAGCACCAACGGCACCCACGCTTTTTTGCAACATACTTCGTTCATTCTGTCATGTTGTAACGCAATTGAAACTTGACTGTTCCCGCCTATACATGTTTAACATATGAACTTACGTGTGCACCCCTCCCTCTCCCTCCCGATTACAGGTATCCCGGACGAGTCACCACGAGTGCCGGCGGACAGGAAGGAGTAGCCTGCTGGTACACCGTCCCCCTGAATGACATTGACCTGTTTTTCTGTACTTCACGTGACTTGTACCCGTTGTTCCGGTTCCGGTGTCGAATATGCGTATGTTTGCAACGCGGTCGTCCTGCTTTCCTATCCGTGCGTCGTGCTTTCTGTGCCTACACGTGCTGCTGTGTCTGAGTTAACCCGGTGTATCGTTTGCCATACGGCGTATTGCGTCGACTCGCCCACGCTACAATGTCATCATCTATATGTTTCCACCACTCCGAATTAGGAATGGAAAATAACGCTCTTCTCGGCAGACAATAACCCAAACGACTGGATGAGCTTAGTTAGCTTGTCTAGTAATGGTTGCGCCTCCCGCTCTTCTTCAAAAATGAGAATGTCATCGCTGCATCTTCCGGGTTGACAAGGTCTTCGCTTGAAGAGATCTTAACGCCGGGGCTTTGGGGATTTTCTAGCGTTCGCCTCATTTCCTCATCAGTGACGAAATGAAATAAAAGCGGGGTGTGCACATTCTCGTCTGACACCGCTGGTTGTAGGAAAGCTTTTGGAGAGCTCTTCATGTATGTGAATACCAGCAAGGCAAGCGTGTTGAAAAGATAAAGGCGGTTGACAGAATCGAACGCACTACTGAAGCCAAGGAACATTAAGACTGTAGGACACGAGTACGCATATCGATAAGTGCGGGCAGACGTCTGAAGACATGAGAATGTGAATTAGTATACGCTTTGTGTGGCGAGATACCCCCAGGAATATGTAGCGACCCAGTCACCCACATACTTACTTGTTCAACTCACAGCCGCTCACTGGATCGCGAGGCTTGTCTTTTTTCTCATACGCACAAACACGTCGCATTAAGCTGACTCATCGGACATCGATTGTCTGCACCGCCTAGTCAGCGTAGCGACCAATCATGTGCCGATGCGCCCACGTTTACGCACTGGGACCTACATAAACGCAAACCGAACCCAGTCAAGACACACACAGACACGCGCGCGCGCAGGGAGCAGGACGTCAACCTCTCCACAAGTCCACGGACAATCATGGAACACGTGTAGCAGCCAAACTGTGGAGAAAACACGTTACCACCGTCCGGACTTTCACCAAGGGACTCTCACATACGATAAGTCCCTTTTTGACTTGCTCCCATTTTCGCACTGTATTTATTTTTATACGTGTCACAGAAATACTACAAACTTTTATTAGTGCACATTCACCTTCTGATTTGTATTATGGCTATCATCACCTGTGCACTAATAAATACTCACAGCTAGTTACGGGATGACACTCATCAGTCTAACCATCCTAGGAAAAGCTCCCGTGTTGATTATTCGATTCGCATCGCTACTTTAAACAGAACAGAATAGATCTCTGTAAAACTCACATGCCCACCAACCAGGAGGTGTCGAAAAACGCGCAGTAAGCCATGGCGAAAGTCTTCCGATGGACTGAGCGCCGAACACAGAAGGCTGACCAAGTGAGTGGAGCGGAGCATGCAGGGACGTGAGGTCAAATCCAAATCCACTGAAAATAGTTTGTGAAGCCATGACCAGTCAGTGCAAATTTGCTGGAGCAAGGTCATGCCTGGCAGTTGTACTGAGCTGGAGGACGGGGACCGAAGTAAATCGGGTGCCGACGGCGTTTCCCCATCTATCGAGCTGCTCATGCCCAAAATGTTCACGTGTTCTCTTATGCTGGTCCTTGAAGGTATCCAAAAAGTAAAGCATGCATGAAGGTCAAATTATTGAGCAAACGAGTGAGTTATATTATATATATATATATACATACATATATAATATTCAGACCCTCTATAGAAACGAGGAACGCAACTCAAACAACAATGTCCAAGAAAACAAGTCTCTCTTGCAGCGATTCGGCTGTTTCTCTTCCAACAAGAGCAAGTAAAAAACGTTTGGCGTCATCCTAATACGTATATTAAGACTTACTCTCTAACCAACCTCAGTAGATATGGTAGAAATGACAGAAAATATACACGATGGTCACCAAGCGGTTGAGGACACCGAATTCGTTTGAGCGGTCGTTCTTATGGCCCTTCATCTTTCACATACACTGATTTTCGATTGGAATACCAAACAGATCAACCAATGCATTGTGGGTGAAACTCATGTAAATGGGGCTCTTAGGAGGGTTCCAAAGTGAACGCAAATGTATTTACCCTGTAGTCGTTCAGCTGTAGCACCCTTTCGGTGCCCCGAAGGTTGCACGAGGGCTGGGATACTCCCAGGTTGCCCAGGCCTAAACAGGGGAAGTCGAGAGGCAGTGGTGCCTCAGTGTGGACCCGACGGACCTGTTTCCAAAACAATGGGCGTTCATGGCGATTACTGTTTTCAAAGGAATGGTCAGTATTGGTTGTCCCGAAATGTCAAGATGCATACTGTGATCTAGCCAACCAAATCAGCACGAAGAAGACGAAAAAGCAAAGAAATCGCGGAAGAAAAAGCCCACAAAAATGTAGGCAAATCGACAACTTACAGCTTTTCTGCATCCGGTGTCGGGCGCATCCTAGTAGATCCGAGCCAATGTAGTAACCGAAACGAGTGGACCAATTTCGTTAAGCGAACGAGAATGGAGGTGGAAGTGAGGATATCACTGTTTTCGTTAAGACCGGAAAAGGCAACTTCGACGTTTGACGGGTTGAGATGAAGATGAGTAGCAATAACGAGAAGACCGAAAGCCAATTTTAACCGCAGCTCACAGATTTCGGTGAATGTTTGACAGAGAAATCGCAAACCTAGACGACTGTCCTTGCGCGCGGATACAGCATTTAGGGTTCCCGGGAGATGTGTTGATTCAGGAGAACCGGTGGACGCAAACCACAAGGGATCTGAAGGAAAAAGAAGAGAACTCAAAGGACGGAACACACCACTCATAAGGTCGCTTAAAAGTCTCCGACAGGCCAAAACCGGTTTCACCCTTCTTGAGGCTCATCAAATGGCGCAGTCCCCGAATTTCCGTCAACTTTGCGTTCAAATTGAACCCAAACTATATGTAATTCACGAAATGCATTTGTCAGCAAACTGATTTGCTTTCAAAGCGAGCTTTAACTGAGTTCCAACCGTGATATTCTTCAACCGAATGTGTTTTAGCTGATACAATGTGTGATATATCGCGGCACACCGGAGAATATCAAAAAGTTCTCATAAAAATTGTGAGTAGGGCGTTCCGTGTAGACACTGCACTGCTGAATGTCGAATATCTACCAAATGAAACATGATGCGGCCTTCGTGGAGCAAAATCTGTCGAAGAATAGAACTCAAGTTGTTTTTAGAAAAACGGGTTTACAATCCAAGACATATAATCAAAAAGTCCAGCTGAACTTTCCTGATACGCAACAACCCGCAATGGAGCAACCACTTTCCACAGCATTCTTGCCACAATCCTACAAAGAATCTCAGGAAAATTCAGCGTTCAATTCTGATTTACAAGGAGAAAAATACCCCCAATTTTCACCAAGGGAACTATGAATTGCCAAACACGAGGGCGAGCCAACAATTTATGCAGGCGTTTGCCCTGGATGTGAAGGACAAATCTGTCGGTTCACATACGGACCAACCGCAAACTGAAAAACGAAAAGATGCCGCTGTCTTCCACAGCAGATGTTACCGTCTTACACTTAAGTGTAAGTGTCTAGGGAGGATGCGGTGTTTAGCATCCAGATACAGACTGTTTGTGTAAGAAGCTATGTGGGCAAGTTATATGATAGCTTTAGAAACAGTATGAACAAAGGTCGTGGGTGTATCGACCCCTTTACCTAATATGAAAAGGTCTTGCGAGGAGATGCACTTTGTAGCTGTGTGCAATATGTGAATAAGTTGACACGGCTGAAGATCCCCCAGAGGAATTTTTTTTTCATCTGTACACTTGTTACGCCGTCACGTAAGAATAACCTTTAAAGCTATCTGCTTGAGTATGCTGGTTGGTAATTTAAAGGCACCAAGTATTTACATCCCGCTAATACAAACTCATCTAGAGTAGATGTCTCTAAATGAATTTTCAAACGTTACCATAAATCAAAACTATTAGACGAAATTGCAGGCCAGAAGAGAGTGACCAAGTGATACATGATATTCAGTCGCCGATCCACAAGGGACTGATAATGTCAGAACTTCAGATGCGAAACTACAATAGCGACACTACGCGAAGTTGATAAAACCTACTCGAAGCTTGTTGATTCCTAGTTGAATGACGTAGGTTGCTCAGTAAGTCCTGCCCCACTGGGTCCGAGCGAGATCTATCGTTGGCCATATCGGATGCTGTCTGTCCAAAGTACGCGAAAGGACGTTGTTCCAACAGTCTTATCAGCATGTCCAACGCAAGCAACTCTGTGGTCCTGGAACGCGGGTCCAAAAATACAAATTGCTGCCAATCGAGCGGATCCGTGAATGTAGCTGGTTCGAAAGAACCAAACTTTCCTCCCAGTTCTTCACTGCACGAAGGAATGACAATCGTATCAATGTTCCCGAGGCATCGAAATGTACAGTAAAAAAACTCCCTACAGCGAACATGAAAGAGACCAGGAAAAAAGGCTCTTCGTGGGATGGACGCTGATAGGGGGTTTCAGTTCAGTGAACACCAACAACATACATGTGTTCGCATGCTATCCAGGTATACGGTCCGTAACAAAATAAATAAAAATAAATCGTCCAGCCGTAGCTTCCTTTCGGTGCCTAGCTGCCATGCCACACGAAGGAAGCACGAGGGCTGGGATACTGCCAGGTTGCCCAGGCCTAGGCAGGGGAAGTCGAGTGGCAGAGGTCGGGTTCGAACCACGGACCTTCCGGTCAGCAAATTTGCGCTCTACCCACTTGGTCAATCTCGCCCCGGTCCGTAATAACAATGAGGCGTATTCTTTGATTTTAAAGATGACCGGGGACGACCTTGCTTTAGTTGCTGCTTTAAGAACAAGGGTTATTAGTATACATGGGTGACCACTGCACACAGGTATCTCGCAGAGAAATTTTCCCTCGACAAACTTACAGTATAGCCTCCACCAGTTTATTGGGATCCCAGCTGTGGTCCGGATCCACGAGGAACGGAGAGACTGAACCGTAGAGTATGGATTTCCACGTGTGCCATGAGGTTTCCTTGCACAAATGCTCCAATAAAACTCGAGTGCGAATGGCGAGTCGTGCTGCGGCTTTCGAAACATCCAGTTTAGATGAGCATGTGTCGGCGGACACGGGTTCTGGGGACGGGGGGAAGTGACCGTAGTATATATATCAGCGCATTACTTGTGATCAAGTATAGCAGAGAATAAAAAAGAAATTGCCCAGTTATGTTCGAGACAACTGATGTTGTCACTGTAGCACATCCGAAAATCCTAAGTGCACAAAGATTGACTGTTTTCTTTTCGCTGGACTACAAACATTATATGTACTTATTAACACAGCTCTTTATTATCGCACTACAGCTAGCCTTTGGCTGAGCATGTTCCATTGTATCCTCATTGTGTGATAGACTTAGCATTCTATGGAAAAATCAGTCTCAGGAGAGACTATCTGAAGGGTACTATTCCTGGATCCACAACGGATCGTTGTATAAGCACTGATGAGCAACAATGACGATCGATATCCCAGTTAGAAAAGTGAGGGAAGAAAGAAGCGCTACTTCATTTGTAGTCTTCAGGTTGACGCCCAAAAGTAGCCAGAACATGTTTTTGAATGCCAACTAACCTAGAAAACCTATTCACCCTGAGAATAGATGACAAGAGCTACAAGCGAAAAAGCTAAAGGATACTAACATACATATGCTATGGTATACTTTGCAAAAACAAGCTAATTTGAAAAGGAGACATACCTAGCGGTATGCACAGTGGCTGATCTGAATGCTGGTTCCAGATTAACCGCTCGTGGTTGTCGAATGGCCGTAGAACGGAGAAGCCCCAACGACGCACGATAACCAGGCCTGGAGCATAGGGTAAGTAGGTCTGCTGGTCTGGGCTGAGCAACGCCGTACCGTAAGGAACTTCAAACAATCCCAAGGGCTGTAGTCCATACTCGTGGTAGTCTATTGCAGTGGCATGAAATGTCTTCAACAAGGTTAGAAAATCACCCATCTCGGTGATGTAAAAGAGCTAAAAATTGGGAAGAAAAAACAACATCCCCATTAAGTGAATCTCACCGACGTAGAATTACAACTGCTTCCCCGTTAAGAAAACAAACCCCAGAACCATACATGATATGCTTTTAACTACTACAAACGGCTTCTCTGCTTCACGCCTAAAACCTGATACCTCACAACCCTTCCCACTAAGTTAGCCTTAGTTGTGTGTGCGTTATTTGGGAAACTGTCGTGCGAGCGCCATACCAACCGAGTGCGATGAAAACCGAGAATAGGGTAAGGCAATGCGCAGCAACTCAAGTTCTGAGCACCGATTTGTTTTCATTGTTACGCTGAGCTACATCTTCATCCCTAGGAGTATCGTTTGCCGAGTGATAACATGGAATATTAGAAGCTCGGGCGGGATTGTTTGTTGACCCGCTCACCGGCCTTGGCAGTTGGTTCACAAAATTCTGATCATAATTGAAGGAAACATCATCAGCGCGCCTTTGGATGGGTAGTTCAACCTTTTCCATTAGCGCATGCCTAACGGTATCTAGTGCCTCCAGCTGTTTGAGAGGCCGGTTAGCTTGTCGCTTTAAGCCTGTTTCAGGGTGGTCTAAGTTTCCCAAATTTGTTGTTGTCCTCGCTATTTATGTCAAGTCGATTAGTGCATAGGATGCTCCTTCGCCAAGTCGTTGAACACCTTGAACAACCACTCTAAGAGAAATTGAAAGAGGGGAAAGGACGGCTCATATTGGTGGACTGGCCAGGAAGAAAATATTTTGATGTGTCTAGAAAAGAGGCTGGTATTCCTTGACAGCAGTGGATAATCCCGCCACAGTATTCAACAGTCCGGTGACAACACAGGCGAGAACAAATGTCGACAATTCTCGGGAAATTAGATCAATGGACAACTTACTTCATCCACCAGTGTTCGGCGTACTTCGGAGCGCAGCTCACCCATGCGTTCAAATAAGGTGACAGTATCTTCAGCAGGCAACTGGTGTGAGTTACGGAGCGACTGGGGTTCAAAATGAAGAAGTAGTAACACTTGAAATTCACTCTGTAATATACAGCTAAACGATACAGTAGGTACATAGTTTAGTTCACATCATGCATAAACTATGTATGCGAAATTCCAAACAACATTTCTCAGCTGTCCGACAATATAAAAGGCAAGCGGAAAGAGGGAGTTAGCTAGCGCAAGTTCAGTGAGGATGATCGTTAGGAGGATAATCTGTAATGAACCACTAGTCTCTTTGAATTGGAGTGACGAGATGTTTGGTCTGATAAAAGAAATGATGCGACTGGAACGTAACACCTCGTCTCGAGGCCCTACCAAAAGTAACGAACATTATTTCGAAGGCCAATAAGGCTACCGTCATCAAGGCACGGATTATTCGTCCAAAGACCGTTTCCATTAAGGGTACGAGTTGGACACTGGTTGAGTAATGGACAACTGATGAGCTCAAGTGTAATGTTCGCCCGCGTTGTGGTGAGTTCAAACCTACCTCGGAGTTGGCATGCAGCGCACCAATGACAATGGTGCGCTAGTGGTCCTCTAGAATGGTTCGGTATAGCTTCACACGATTAAATCAAAAATTAATGTTTCAGACTTTTATCATGATTAAGAAAGTGCATTCAGTGGATTCATGTAACTTCTTCAATGTTTCAATTAGACAGTCAATTGAAGACCGGGCAGTTAAATGCTGCGAACATTCATAAGGCTTCCGTAAGAGTTCACGTTCAACTCGACAACAAACCAGTGGCCGAGGTAAACTCCGGTAAATTCTACTCGTACAAACTTAGGAATCAACAAGATACAGCGGAGTACAGTGATTTAGAGTTTGACTAATGTAACTGGCATCAACTGGTGCACAGAACCCTAACACAATTTCAGCTCAAGAAACACTATCAAGGCTGACTGTTGAAGTCGATGGCGCTGTTCACGCGCTTTTTGCATCAGCATCCTGGACAAATGCAGCTAAACACCCAGTGAAAAACTCAATCTGGCCGCGGTGTTGATAAACTACATAGGACTCGTGCTGATGTCCCTGCTGTAAGATTGCCCACCAATCTGAGAAGTACACAAGAAAAGCGATGTAGTGAAAGTAATCCTATCAAGAAGGGCAGAAAAAGATGGTGTTTAGATTTCATAGTGTGAATCATCATCAAATATTCCGTAATATCTGTTCTAGACCTCGGGAATCATCGTTCAGCTGTAGCACCCCTCCGGAGCCTAATTGCCATGCTGAAGGAAGCACGGGGGCTGGGATACTGCCTAGACAGGGGAAGTCGAGAGGCAGAAGTCGAGTTCGAACCACGGACCTTCCGGTCAGTAAATTCGCGCTCTAACCACTTGGATCATCTCGCCCCCTCGGGAATCATACAGCATCCAAAAAGTAAATTCCCTCGAGACGAATATCCTGAATAGACAGAACAAGAACTTATTGGTAAAAAAATTGTAGAACTTAGGTTTACAAACCTTCAAAGAGCTTGCAATGGCAAACCGAGAAAAACGGCCAGGACTGAACAAAAAGTCCAGGAACTCGTCAACATCGTCCACTGTGATCCGACAGGGGCATTCTTCTGTTGTTGATGCCAAAATAGTTTCTTGGGTCTGGACCAGAATAGGAGACTGGTGCCTCCAAATCGGGATATGATTGTCGGGGTTGATTCCTGGAGGAACTGCAGTACCATTTTTGACCACTGGCACGGAAACAGTGTGGGGGGAACCACAGGACCACTGAACATAGTACCGATCATCCAGGTTCGCTTGATTGTCAGCTACTTGCTGAGCCAGCCACCAGACACCTTACAAAGAGAAAAATGTTGGGTAGAGCAGAGCAACTACAAGTTACACAACAGGACACCAACACAGACTGAGTGTAGGACATACGGCAGAAAATAAACAACAAAACACGAAATTCTTCCAGAATACAGGGATGCGAATACCGTACTGAGATGGTACACTAAACTGGTCCGCTCTATTACTGAAAAACGATCATCATCAGAAAGAACCCAAAGCCTTTCAAAAGACGATGTTGCTATCAGTATCGACTAGATTACACGGGCTGGACAACCATACCTAACTCTGTCACCTTACCGTGGTTGTAACACCCAAATGCTGCGAAAAACACCTGCGGGGCTATTGGTTGGAACTCGGTTGCCTGACATTAGAACAAAAAGGTGACTCCGTCGGGAGCTTAACCGCGCTGTGAACTGAATACCTTCTTACAGTTCAGAGAACAGCTTGAAATCTTGCCAGTTACTCCGATAACTTTTACACCTCCTTCCGGTTTCGCTTCAATTAATTCAAATTTTCCGGCAACCTTGTGAATAGTGTTCTTTCGACCATTGAACAGTCCCATTTTGTGGCTGAGAAAAGCACAAGGTGTGATTTATTCCAAGCTCTCGATTCTCAAAGGGATTCCCCGTCTCGGTAAAACGGGTGCATTCACTCACTCTGAGAATACTAACTGTTCGGCTGTGGCGCTCTTTCGGTGCAAGCTGACGTACAACTCGAGGGGAGGACGAGGGTTGAAATGCTACCAAACTGCCTACACCTAGACAGCAGCAATCGAAAAGCTAGGACGGGACTCAATCCACGAGCCCTTGCTAGTTCTTTTGCTGAAAAGGCTAGCTTGGGAGGATCATGCCGACAGCTGAGCTGAGGCATTGCTGTTATTACACTTTGTGCAGCACATTCAGCTGAACGTAAGCAATGGATTCAGCTGGTATTCCGTTAAGTTAACTGTGACAACCGAATTGGGGTGCGTGGGAGCGAATTTAACAGGGACTAGGTGTCTTCAAAAGACGCAGAGATTCATACTTCTCACGTCGGATCACACTATGTGGACACACTGGAGTCGAGGTCAAACAGCTTGACAGCGCATAGCATGCACTAGAGCACATATGGAAGCAGAGCTCTCTGGTCGGCGACCACAATGAAATGGAAGGTTAATGCCAGCAAAACGTAATTATCTTTACACTACTGGTTGAAATAAGGTAGTCTATACTCAAACAACTGGATGGGAATGAAATGGATTGCGCGTTAGTTTTACTTTTAGTGTAAAAACGAAAGCAAGTGTAGAGGATAGCTAAGACAGGTCGATAGGGTATGTAGGCGTCAGCGAAACTGGATGAAGAGTGTCCGGCTGTTACACCGTGCCGCCGTAATTGTGTCTGGTACATTTTGACTGAGCCACGCAGGTTTTAGGGTATCTTAAAACACAAGGTGGGTATTTAAAAGGAATAAAGAAGAGTGACGCCTAGGGCAGTAACATAAGTAATAGAGCCTGACATGGTACAACAAACGCTTTGTTCCAAATACAAAGGCTTTGGTACCATAATGAAAACTTTATAGGAATGTAAAGTGAAACCAATCACTAGAAGACAAACCGCACTCACAGCCTTGACGTTAAAATATCCATTAGGAGTAGGAGCAAGTGAAATTGAGACTGAAGAATCCCTTCCCGAAAAGATACTGTCGGCAGATGGCCGATTTTTCTATCCACAAAAAATTGCTCAGCTGTAACACCCTTGTGGTGCCTAGCTGCTACGCTACCCGAAGGAAGCATGAGGGCTGGGATACTGCCAGCTTGCCCAAGCCTAGACAGGAGAAATCGAGGGGCAAAGGTCGGGTTTGAACCACGGACCTTCCGGTCAGTAAATTCGCGCTCTAACCACTTGAGCCATCTACCCCCAATCTAACGCTGTTTGTGCCCACTAAGAGACTTGTCAACAAATAAGTCTAGGTTGCTGTAGGGTTGATGTCGCGTTTGATGTGTTTTTGACGCACGAGAGAAATGTACGTAGATTATAGCACATTGAGTTGGTGTTACCGAGAGACCCAAATGAATCCCAGATAAATTTTTTCCTAATTGTGCTGAACATAGGTCGGCTACTGTTGCAGTTGGTATGGTACGGAACAGGTGGTCTTTTGCCAATCAATGTAACCTGGATGGGTGGCAGAACATTCGACAGAAAATGAGCGACCTCGAAGAACAACGCAGCCATCAACCACATGACCCGAGGTACCAAATTTTTCTCTTTATATCAAGAGCCATGGCTCGTTTGTATGACCGAATCAAGATGCGGCCAATGCGCTTGTGCGTGTATGTGCTTATAGATAAAAGCTAACAGCGTCGAAGCATCAGTGTTGAACACTGATGTCATACTGTGCTAATTCTGAACATTTTATATTAGAGTGGCTGCGGTACGTGAATTCGGTCAGTGCGTAATCATTACGGAAGACTGCGCCGCCCTGAAAGAATAGATTGCGAAGTGAGTGCGAAAGTGAGCCTTTTAGAATATGAAGAGGCGGTCGCAATAAGTGGAACTGAAAAAGGGGATCTACAATGGGGTACAAAAACGCCCGAACACTGCAACTGCTGATACACTTCTGCATAGGATGGCGAGGAAAAGAAGTGAAATAGATATGCCGATTTCACGGCTCCCAATGGGTAGGTCGTAAGGCTCGAATCCCTTCATCATACCTGCAGTCAAACATTAGGCATTAAAGCCACTAGAGCATGCATCGACAAAATAGGTCACTGGAGAGGACAACTGCAATGTACCCAGTTGTATCTTGTACTGGGTATCCGTACAACAGATGAAACCAATTTGACTTTCGAACGACACTAAGCAAAATTCTTGTGCAGAACAGCGGGGAAAATTCTGGAAGAAGCACCTTATTGGGAGTGTTGCTTCCAAAAAGAATGCTGTTGCACAACATTTGCTTAACATTTTGCTTAATGAAAACACGACGTAGTCCACATGTAAACGGTTATGACGACTTGAAAAAGTGAACTGGTTACTTGTTGCCCTTTGTTGGGAGTGGGTGCGCGGTGTCATTTGGGGACGGAGTCTGAATGCATAAACAAACAGGCTGTTTTATGACACAAAGTACTTATTAGCAACCATCGGGATAAAAGACAGTTTCGTGAGACATCCTCAGAAGTTACGATCCATATGTCCGTTCCATCAAGCGATGACACACGTAGATGGAGTCGTGCAAGACGATGGCTTTATATGAATTTTGTGAGCATGATGACTAGAACCGTTTCAGGCATGAGGCATAAAAGGGCTAGGGATGATTCAGTGGTTAGAGCGCGAATTTACTGACCGGAAGGTCCGTGGTTCGAAAAGGACTTCAGCCTCGCGACCTTCCTTGTCTAAGCTTGAGAAACCTGACAGTATCCTAGCTCTCATTCTTCCTTCGGCTGGCATGGCAGTTGGACACCGAAAGGGTGTTATAGCTGAACAGTTGTGAGGCATAAGAAATTGAGGACTAGTTCCATCTAACGAATGCCCCCGCCTCCATCCAAAAAAAGCTTAACCCACAGAGGACTAAAAGTAGTCATGTGAGGGGAAATACCTCGATATCGTGGATATCATCCCAACGAAACCACGGGATGGTTTTTGCGCAGTACGTTCAATTGAAGAACATTACAAACAGGAGATCCGACTGCAACTTCCAAGGGCCATCCATTAATATCTTCGCAATTTTTTAGCGGGTGTTGACATCCCCATAATGAAAAGTTTGTTTGAAGAATAAACAATAAAGAACAACCAAAGGAATGGTAATCAGATGAACAGTGTGGTATAATCCATCACAAAACGGACGCAGAGCCCAGTCCGACTCGTTAGTGCGTCACTGTCACCATCCGGAGGGTCCTTCTATTCGCATTCGGAACAGAAATACTGGTTCGTGATGATAGTCTTCGATGTTCTTTGCAGAAGAACACGTCGACACCAAATCCGTTCACATGAGGTTGAGGAAGCCGCGTCCACATTAGCATGTTACTGCTGACAACATTTATGAAAACCAATAAAACGCCGCTACACTTCCCCCTCAGAATTGGAGGCAGAACGGTCAATTATGAAGTTTGTCAAAAGATGTGGAGGAGTGAACAAAACGGACCTCAGTAAATGACGGAGAACAAATCTACTCAATCGCCATACCAAACCGGACGGAGTCGACACTCCCCTGAGGACAAAAAGTTGTTGACTCACCGATGAGGTCAGTCGGAACTGAAGGCCGTACAAGAGGATCATATGATAGGATCAACCGTTGAACCAACGGTGTGCGAGTTGAACCCAAGTTTAAAGGTCATCTGGACGTCGGCCAATCAGAGCTCAAGCGGAACAGCCCACTAATAGAATGGATTATGCAAACTACCGATCATACTCCTGATGAACAGAATGTAGATACGCAAAAGCGCAATACTGATCAGCGCCCACACAGCGATGTACCCCTACCAAATCACGCACTGAAGTTGTCACCTCTAGTCGTGTAGAGACGTTTGCAACCGAAGCGCTGGGCTCCGCGGACAGATTAATCATTAAGCAGACTACGTGAACTACTAACCACTTAAAACTTGGCATAGAATGTAACATTGCAGTGGGCTCACTTAAGTGACGCATCAGCCAAATGACAGTCAAGATACAATCATTTTTACGACCACCATTCATCATAATACTGGACGAGCATATAAAGGGATATAGGGCCATAAAAAAACAAAAAACAAACGATTACCATGAAGGTTTTCCACGACACCATGGTTTTCAGGATGTCTTCTCCGGAAAACAGAATTTTCATTTGAACTCCAAAACGGGCTGGCATTGAGTTGCGTCGGTATAAAGTCCAGAACACTAAATTCCTCAATTCCAGATTGCTCCCAATTACTTGATGACTTTGATGCATACACCGGACTCGCAGGGGTGGCCAGACGATCGATACCCTTAACTCGAAGGCATTCACGATCACGCCGACGAAAATTGGACAAATCTAGCTGTAACCAGCACCAATAGTTGGCCGAGCATGTACCAGATGAGGAGAGAGCATTTTGCATCGATCCCAGGGAAGAATTCAGCGAAAGCGATAGATAGACCAACAAACCAGCGGAATCACCGCTATTCATAGAATAGCTTGTTATGCGATGGAAGCTGCCAGGAGCTAAATGCGAATGAAGTGATCCTGATCCGGTACTACAAGCATTGTGGTCCGGTAGCAAGTCTAGTAATTCCAATACTTGCAAGCAATCACGATGCTGAGAAAAAGTGACAACAAAATTTTCGGTTAGGGACATCCAGCTCCGTCAATAGAGCATAGCTTAATTTACTGGAATCGACAGTTCTGAAGCCGTTTGTCGAGTCCAGAGCATTGTTGTGCTTCCCCTAAAATCGGCCTGATACCAAGTAAACAGGATGTAAGATCTTCGTTTCAGAAGTCTTCCTAAATAGTCTAACTAATTGCGTCTGGGCAGTTTTCTAAAAGCTTCTAGGAAGGCATCCTAGAATGTCAGACCCATACAATACATCTTTGAACCTCATCCTAATGGTTCTCGGAAAGAACAAGAAAAAGAACCGATAAAACGATTCGATATCTGCGAAGATAGGGAGACGCCACAGATAATGATGTCCTTCGATCATGCAAACGCTTCTAGCCTACGACAACATACCTCAGAATTAACATAACGTAATGAGATAAAATCATATAAGACTGCGGTAATATATTACGAATTTGCTCCATGGTAGAACGCAAGTGCCGAAACTACTCGTCCCTTCGAGATAAACCGATTTTCAATTTCAAGGTGCTTTTAAGGTGCTAGAACACTTTCTCCGCTTGTTTGTACTCATAGTGACATGAGGATTGGGGAAAGTGAACCAAGTTTCTCGTCAGAGAAATAGCTTGTAGGTGCAGTTTAAAAGATACTTGAAATTGTAGTGAGCTGTCGACGGACAATTACTGAATGGTCCCAAAAAAAGTCAGGAGGTGAGACATCCTGGGTCAAGTCGTTTTGGCAATGAGATTCTGATTTCATATTTCTCTCACTAGTTACCTTTTAGCACGGTGGGACTAAGAGACGCCTGGTACAAAAGAACGCATGCGACCGGTCCACGCACTCACGATTATTTTCCTTGAATCCGTGCTCGTCACAACCTTAAAGTTGACTACGCTTGCAGGATTGGATAGGCGATACCCCAAAAATGCTAATAAGCTTATGTCATATCGATCGGCATGGTAAGGAAGTGTGGATCCATAGAAGGGAGCACAATTGAAGTACTCCAGTTCCTTTGTGACACCAGCAGGTACGTAGAAGTCGTTTTGTGAGACTGTATTTGCTGGCTTCAAACCACAGCTACACGGCCCAGATAGATACATACCACGCTAGATGGACGGGCTGCGAAGACGGTGGAACTTTGTCTATTCGCACATGCAAATAATTCAAATAAATGGAAGAAAACAGGCCAACAGGGAGAGAAGAACAGTGGACACAATGCACACCTTATTGGCGCCACCTGAACTAGAACATCCGTGCAAGTCAAGCTATATCGGATTATGTTGCTCCAATTTGCCATCTCGTCAACATAGCTTCATGTGCAACATCGAGAAAAAAACATCAGAATCACGCGTGTCTACACAGTAAGTCTGTTTTTGTCAGCAAATAACTTGGCGCTGTGCAGTGTTACCAATTATCCCTTGAAGGACCAGAATTTAGGGACCAAGTTAGACCGAAAGGGAATACGAGTTCGGGGAAGCTTCGGTGTTCGGGGAAGTTTGGTGTGCTAGTGAACAGGTAAGTCTACCGAGTTTCAGATTGAATCTGTACCCATACGGTCCCAGGGAACCCATGAGGAAAACGGAAAAGTTTCACTCGATCGAAGCGCAAATTTACTAACATGACGGTCCTTGGTCCAAATCCAACCTCCTCATCTCGACTGATGCTGATATTACCTCAGTCCTCGTGCTTTCTTCGGGTGGCATAACAGCTAGGCACCGGAAGGGTATTTATTACAATTGAATTATTTTATTATTGTGGTAAGTTGGACACAGCTGCTCCAATTCATACACTTGCACCTTTTGCTGTACACCGCATAGGTAGTCACACACTGTAGTTCGCGTCAACAGCGACGGGTACACAGAGCCCATCGCGGTGCTTTTCTAGGCCATAACACGTGTTTGCGAAACTTCGATGGTTGAATACGTGCTCCGTACCCACATAAATGCACGTTGAATAACCTTTTGAAACGAGAACCGATTGGGCTGTTTGTCAACGGCTAAGTTTTACACAAAAACTAATTCTGAGACTACCGTTCGTGTGTGTATGCTGGTGCCTCTTTCACCGCAAAGTGGAAGAACCCCGTAGATTCCATGAAAATCAGTGTTGATTCGGCACCACATATTCGTGGAGCACTTTGACCTTCCTGTGGAAAGAAGCCACATCCAATTATACCCAAAAGCAAACCGTTCCCTATGTCCACTCCTCAAACATTTTGGTTGTGGAAATAAAAACGATACATGCTTACTTTCAAATCCCACAAACGAAGGCGATGATCCTTGCAAACAGAAACAATCAAGTGATCTCCATGATCGGTCATGATTAGGGCCATATCTACGACTGCAGACGGGTCACTGTCCGACCTAAAGTGAATTTTAGGAATCAATATGACAGGTGCCATCGCGACTGGCTCACTTTGCGAATGGCGTTATTCCACTCCATAGTTTCTGGATCATCGACGCTTGGTGTAACTCGAAAACCTCCGATATCTCTGAAAGCAAGAGAAAACCATGGCAGAAATGTAGGCAGTGCTTTTCATCAAAATTACGAACGACAGTTGCCGAGCTTTTTGGAGGAAAGGTTGCCACAAACCTTCTGTTCGTGGTCATCCAGTACCTGTATGTATTTTACGTCCCAATCCGGTGGATTAAAAAGGAAGAGAGACTCAGTCATAGAACCCTATGAAAAATGACACCAAGATTTTCAGAAGCATACAATAAACTCAATGAAGCAATGCAAGAATGAGCAAACAAACGCACAATGACCATTTAGCGGGGAGTGTTTGGACGGATGAGATAATCCGAGCCTTGAAAAACTCAATTTGAAAGAATAAAGAGGGTGAGAGTGCTCTGGAGTAGGCGATTCGGAGAAAGACTAAAGAAGAATGGTGTGTGACGACGAGGATCACTGGGAGCGAAGGGGTGCGTTGCATGTGTGAGTGGATCGGGAAGAAGAAAGGGATTCTAATAAAGACTACAAAGCTAGGACTGGGAAAAGATGAAAAGGTGAAGCCCATCAGTTAGGGGAGAAAAGGCGAAAGCGCGCGGTTTATCTGCCAGACGTGATCAATCAGTGACTAGAGGAAAGTGAGGGTCAAACCGCAGTATCTCAAGGTGGGACGAATATACATAATATGATGAGGATCATAAAATCGTTCAGCTGTGTCGCCCTTTCGGTGCCTAGCTACCATAAAACCTTAAAGAGACACGACGGCTAAGACACTACCGAGTTGTCAAAGCTCACTTGAACATAGATGGACTTTTGCGAGCGGAACATACATCCCACTTTCCTGAGCAAAAAATTTCGGGAAGTGTTCTTGGAAAATGATAAACAAATAAAAGACGCGTCAAATGAAGATGGTGACAACAGATGACATTTACAGTGGTCTAGGTCAGATCGGAAGTTTCGTCGAAGTAATACGCCACGAACCTTTGTTGTAGGTTAAACATTGCATACTGTCAGTGTGACGTCCTCTAACCTACCAATGAATGTACTTACCTGCATAAGAGGCTGGTAAAACCTTATGGACATATATTAGACACCGGCAACTATTTTGACAAACAACGAATCCATAAACATAAACAAACTGAGTATGCTGCTTGTTTCCAAATGTTGGTGCAAGAGATTCTATTGTACTCCGCTATTCTGCACAAAATTAGGCGGCAAGTATTGCGGAAAAATTGGACGAGCTGATATAACCTAGTTATCTGCCAGTTAGACTGGGTAACTTTCGAACAGTATCACTGCCTCTCACTGGCACCAACAGTAAGTGCTGCCGGAGTTGATGAACGTACATGAAGATACTTTGTCTAAATTTCGAAAAAAACGCACTACTGCAAAAGCACTGACACTTTTCAGGGATATTTTGAGTGCGAAAAATATGGACACGTAATAAACTCGTCTGCTTTGTTCATAGTCTATTCTAGTTAATGTTAGATAAAGTTCACAGGTCTCTCGTGAATGGTACTCTCGAAATTTTGTTCAAATGTCAATGTAATTGGTGTGCACTCTACGCGGAATGGCGACCAATAGCGTGGAATCTATTATGCAGCAGCAGTAAGCCGGTTCAAAAGGTGTAATTATTTCAAAGATTAAATGTGCGTGGTCCGTGTTCAGTCGATGTTCACCAAGTAGCATCATCATCATCATTGTCAGCTGTAATAACCGCGTACTTGTCGTACAGTGGTTGTAGCTGCCGCAGTTTCGTTCACCGATGTTTTTTTGCGGGGGATAGGTACAGTGGGCTGTCAAGTGGGGGGTTGGAAAAGGAGCTATGCATTGAAGGCAATAGCTTGGATGCACGAGCGCCATTGAGGGCGCGACTGGGCCATATCTGACAATGTCTCTAGCCATTGATGTGGCCCGTCTCGGGATCCCCATCCAGGAAGACGGCAGTGAGCAGCGCAGCTGAGTTTGCTGGTAATGGCTTTCATACTTCGCTGCCAAGTCATTGTTTGACCGCCTCTGGCTCTCTT